TGATCTCACCACTGCACGCCAACATTCACAGTGAGTCAACTCATGTTCATTTACAAGAAAACATCCTCTGACACAAAACAACCGTTTGGCATCTCATCTATACAACCATACCCGAAACAGCTGGACACAATCTGTGAAGGTCTCCCCTTAGGCCAGTGGACAGTCAGCCAGAGTCTTTCCTTTACTGCTGTATCAACTCCTGCTCCTCGTCTCTTCAGGAAGGGAAGCTTCAAGGTCATTACACCTGAAAGGAGACACACTGTGACCTAAATGACCCTGCACCTGAAAGCTACTATAAACCATTTTTTATTTGTGCAAGCTTTGGGCATTGAGTCTCTCTGTTACCTTTTCCTCTGGCTGTGCACCATATTCGCACAGTTTGATCTCGACTACCTGATGCCAGGTAACACCCCATTTCTGCTCCTTCTGTCACCCCATTGCTTCCATCTATAGAAAGAGTCAATGACATGTCACTTATCATTTTGTCTTCTCTATTATTTCAGGGGTTACTAATCTTTTTGTCAGCTGAATCTCTTTGATGCAAAATATACTTGAAGTCCCCCTGAGATTTTAAATTAATATTTCAATAATTATTTACATATTCTTTCCTTTGTTCACAGTTCTCTGATGTAAGTTAAAGGTCACATGACATGCAAGAAAACAGATAAAATATCTAATAAGTAGGGGTGTAACGGTGCACAAAGTTCACGTTTCGGTTCGATACGACACATTGGTATCACGGTTCGGTACATTTTCGATACGGGGGGTGGGGTAATTGGTTACATCGCAATGTTGGAAATATTTCTGTTTTAAACCATGAAGGTGAGCCAATGGACATCACATAAGCAACGTGCAAACTTTGCGCAAGATTTATGCGGCGAACGTCTTAATCTCAGTCAATTCACTATGCAGAATGTGAAAATAAAAACGGAATGACGGAGTAATGACGGAGTAATGACGGAGCTTTCGGCATCTGACGCCGCATATTCTCTCAGAGACGACGATAGACGAATCTACTACAACATATGCTGATAATGGTATATAGCTAACTGTTTTTATTTATTCCCTTAATATTTCTCTTGTGGCCCATACATACATAGTGGAAGAAAAATGAGAAGAAACATATTTCGTGTTAAACAGGTTATTTTTGAAAGTCGGTGCTTAAAATAAAAGCTTTTTATTTCATTGATTTTTATTGATGACTGCAGTGTTAATATTTTAATTATAGGCCTATAATTAATTGTATAATAGACCTGTTTTAAAATACCTTTTTTTTTTGTGAAACATTTTAATCGAGGAGTAAATAGCCTAATCTTTTGTTATCCTCACAGTGCGTCAGTTATGTGGTAATTATTTCGGGGCAAATTAATTGTAATCTTAATTTAATAATAAAAGTAACTTCATAATAGGCCTAATAAAATAAGAATGTAACAGGCCTACATTAATTGGAAATGCCAAATCCTCTTAACATTGTCAATAATTTATGTTTTTGACAAGATCTCTGGCTATCGTCGATACAAGATCATTGTCTTTCGACGCAACCCAGCAAAGGGAGGTTATCGCTGGGCCGTCCGCTACGCCACTGGCGCAACTGACGCTGTTACGTTGTTTGGGCTGTCTTGTTGAGCGCAGTGGCACTGAGAAAATTATATTTCACACACTTTAAGCTCTTTTATTTTCCAAATGTAATAGGATTAGTCCAACGAATTGTTCGGTTTGTAATGCATACCGAACCGAAAGCCTCGTACCAAACGTTCAATACGAATACGTGTATCGTTACACCCCTACTAATAAGAGTTATTTTGAATTTATATTATATATCTATTACAATTCTTATTAATATTTTGTTTTTATTTTTATATTTTCTCTGTTCTCATTTTAATTTTAGAGAATTTGTTGTGTGCTTTTGTTAGTTTGAATATGTCTATATAGTATTTATTAACTTTAATTTCAGCTTTGTTTTAGTTTTTTTAGTACATCAAGTTTAACTTGAGAAATGTTGCTTCGGCAACTAGCTGAAATAAAATAAGTTGAAGTTTATTCTTTAAATAAAATTTAAACTAAAATAAAATAAAATTTAAACTAAAATAAAATTTAGTATTCATTTAAAGCTTATTTTATTGCGAGTAACAAAAGTTTTTATGGTTTTAATTTTAGTTAATTTAATAACCATGGTGCTGCACTTTATGTTTATTTGTTTGTGTTTAACAACATGTCAGCTTCTGTGGCTATTTTCATGGTGAGAAAATGTATGGCTAAATTATATTGTGTTTTTACAAAATTTTTTTTTTTTTGCTAAACTCTAAAACTGTATTTGAAGTAACTCTGTTAAAAATCTCTTCAAAAGAGTTAAATGAATAAAAAAAGTTTTCTCACGGAGTTAAAACCAGCACAATCTAATAAAACATGCTTCATGGATAAAGGGTTTTGGCAGAGAGAACATGTTGTGCTGCTCTTTACTCTGAAAAATGCAGCTAACTTACAGTACTATATTCTTTTAAAATTAAAAATCCAGCCTTTAATTTGATAATAATGTTTTTATGAGATATATTACAATTTCAATTTTATTTCAATTAATTGTGCAGAACCATTTTTTATTTATTTTAATGTTAATAAATTAATTATTAGGTTTTCATCACCTCACAAACCCACTGCACTTCCCTTCCCCATTTGGGAAAGGCAAGGTTAGTTCAGATTTTGAAATGTCATTTGGTGTAACTCCCAAACACTTAATGGTAATAACTGACTGAGGCAAACTGGATCTTTAAGCATGTCTTGATTACCTGTGTTGTCTTCTGATCGCCAATATAGAGGCTCTTCTCTGGGTTGAGGGCACCATGCCAATGCGTGAATCTCATCATCATGCCCCCTCAGCCGATGGATTACCTCCCCTTTCTTACTGATGTCTATCACTACTATCATTCCATCCTTATACCTTTAAGAGGAAGCATAAACAGTTAGCATGCACCACTGATGAGTCTAGAGCTCTCTATGATCACAACACATATTGAATAATTATACAACGAGCCTTTACCCCACTGCGATGTAGTTTTCCTCATGTGGAGAGCAGGATAAGCAGAAGATTGTTCGAGGTTCAGGGAAGAAGCTCTGGGTGTCATTACTGCTAAACCAATAGCACACCACAATGCCCTTTTCATCTCCAGTGACTAGAAGAAGTTTCTGCACCGGAGACCAGTGGACTGCAGAGATGGTGCTCTGTTCAAACATATGGTATGTCAGTCACCATGATTTTCTATGATGTTCTATGCCTTGCAAACTTGAAGTCGGTATTTTGTAATATATTTTAAGTCACCATGAAATCAAAATAGACATATAGACATAATTCATACCTTTTATGGAATACTGCATTGTTTATTATAAATGATTTATTCATGCACATTATTATTAAAAAAAAAATCATGATGGGGAGAGAAAAAAAAAACTAGTCCCACCCTACGCTTTTTCTCATTCGAAAAAACATTTTACTTGGATATTGGTCACAATAATAAAAAAGAAAAGATGATCATAATTTCTGTTTCATGACGATTTTGATATTGTTGTTGCAAACTCTGCTTAAATATATAAGCAGCAAAAGCAGTTATGAGTTTATGGCTGTCATGGAGTTATATTGTAAATTAGAAATATTTTCTCATTCTAGAAGCTGTTTCTCTCATACATATATCACAATAGGGATGAAAAGATGATGGCAATTTACGTTTCGTGCCGGCCTTTATGTTATTGCAAAAATGTCACCTCACCAGTGTTACATTTTGTAGCAGAATGACAGAAGTGGTTGTCCAAATAACTTGTGATATGGATAGAAAATTAGAAACAAATAGTTTTTTGCATTGTATGCCATCAATTTAGTTTGATTTCATCTTGATTTAAGTAGTGATTTCATGGCTTTTACAATATAGAAGCAAAAATGTCCTGATATTGACAGCAAATCAAAAATCTAAATCTAATTCTAAGATGTTTAATGAAAAATAGAAATAATTATTTATAAAATAACTATTATAGTTACTCTATACTTATAATTATTTATTTAACAAAATGTTAAATATACTGACAAAAATAACATTTATTTCATTTGGAGGCAATGAAACTGTTGTCCGGGCAAGTAAAAATGTTATTGTTGAGTCCGGAAGTTACACTTTTACCACTGTAGAAAATGGCAGAAAGAAAACTGTAATATAGTACAAAACTTGTTAAGGGAACAAACTGTGAGCCAGTTACAATGCTTTAAGAAAGACAGGTAGAATATTCACTCACTTGGTGGACATTGTGCTCTTTCAACAGAATTTTCTGCTCAGCATCCCAGATTTTGACTGTCTTATCATCTGAAGTGCTAGCACAAATGTGTTCTTGTCCATCATGGGAGCAAAATACAAAACCAGAAACTCTTTCAGTGTGCCCAGTGAGTTCACCTGCAGAAAGAAGGTCTAATCAGATCAATGTGAATTTGCAAAAAGCATTATATTAAAGCATCCTGAGCTCATACCTGTTACTGCTGGAGATGCTGCAGTCACATTTAGCAGATAGATTGTATTCTTTGCTCCAAAACCCAGCACTCCCTTTCCATTTATGTCACTGCAACGTGAACAGTACCAGTTTGGAGACGCTGGCAGATGTCGTTGGTGCATTTTAAAGAGAAAATGACCGCTGCATCAAGATCAGAGGATAAATTCACGGGTAGTGATAGTGAATTCACTTCTCACATCTACTCGTGCTGCCGAAAACATACCGGCCGCCGAATATCAACAGCGTGAGCTGTAAAAAATTATACGGAACGCGAGAAGGGACAGTGTTACCATAGAGACAGTCAAATCGTTGTTTAAGACCGACATATTCAATAGATAGATTGGTAGAAATATATATCATACGCCTTATTTGTAATTAGAATATTTTTGTTGGAAAAAATGTAACCAAAAATAATACAACGTATAACTTTGAACTCATTCTGCAGGGACATTTGCCGTAAAGCAAAGCGTCGTAATATGTTCAACCGATTCTCATTTTCGAGAGTCTGTTCATTCAGGTTGTTCAAAACACCACTTCAGCGATTCATTTAAGTATTATTTGACCAAATCTCGAGACAGTCAATGATATCGCGGAGTGACATATCACCTGCTCTAAAACTCTAAAACCAGTAAATCCATGTAGGCACTTACTGCCGTTTTTCGATATATATGGGAGTATATTGTAATTTAATGCGTCCCTGTCCAGTTGTTGCAGCCATAATTGAGCTAATAACACAACGCAAAGTCATTAAGAATCAAAATATTTGCATTGACACTGAAAAATATAAAAATTCACAAACATGTTTTACATTTCAGTCGGATTTGCTAACGAATAAATCAGACCTGGGGTTTCGTTTTAACGGAGGTGTCGGCTCAACCGACTCACTGAAAAGATCCAAATCAAAAGAACGATTCGCTCACGAATCGGACATCCGTGATCATCAATATGGCGGCCTCCGTGGTGACATGGGCTGGTGAGTCAAACCAAAAATACTTTCTTTTTATTTACATGTATATATGCATTTCAGTTAATTTTGTTTTAACTGGAAATTACATGGACATTGTTTATAGGTTTAGCCGCCATTGGTCGTGCTTGTGGACATATTCGCTCTAGGTAAGAAAATCACATGCAGTTGCTGTGAAATGTAAAAGGACACCGACTGAAAACTAATTAAATCCGTGTGACTGTGTCTTAAAACGCACTTAGCTACCTAGATAAACAGCATTTTTGGGCATCAATGTGCTGTTTAATGCTAGGTTTTGAGCCGCAGCCTATTTATTGTTTTACAATCTGTCTGGCTCCATTTAGGTTGCTTGGATCTTCATCGACGTTATCTCAGGTGTCTTGTCTTCACACAAGTACAGAGTTAAATAGCAAACACTGGGAAAGGAAAAGTCTTATTGTATATCCACCACAACAGAAAGATGAACCACGCAGACCTGCTGTTAGTAATTCATTTAATTTAATTGGTGGTTTTGCTTAAGACACAAAATTAATCTACATTTAGTGCATGAAAAGGCAATATTTGATGTGTTATATGTTATGTATGCTTCTTTTGTATTTTATTTTGAGTAATGTATTTATTTTCTGGATTGAATGTCATTTTATGAACACGGCTCTTGGACTTCAGTTTAAACCGTTAATTGTAACATCTGAATTATGTTTTCTTTTGGTCTGACTTCAACAGCTGAATCATTCTCTGGCAAGGGAAAATACCTAAAGCGCATTCGTTATCATGGACGTGGAATGTTCGGCATCATGGACAAAGTGCACTGCCACTACTTCGTAAAGCTTGTTGAGGGAGTCCCGCCCAAAGTTGAGCAGAAGACAGGATTCGACCAGGCCAAGGAGTATGTGGAGCAACTGAGGAACCGAACAATTATTCACTCCCTATAGTAATGTGCTCATGTAAATAATAACTGAAGAATAAAGAAATCACACCAAGCACAGCTCTTGTTTTATCTTGTGGATCAAAGATGAAAGGGGGTTTTCAAAAACCAAAATAATAATTAAAAAAAGTTATTTTCCCCCTGTGCATTAAAATATAAAATAATGACTATTATACATTTCTACCATAATGTACAGAAAAAAAAACTGTAATTCGGTGTGACTAGTTTATTTACTAAAAAATCTTGTCAGGCATATTTAGAACAGGAATCATTTGATGACATTAAAACACTTGTATTTAATGATCACAGTGCAGCCCCCATTAACTAATTATTTGTCATTTTTAAATATTTACAAATCCTTGACACTATCCTTCAAACCACTTGGTTATACCCATTTGTCAGCAAGTCGTTTTTAAGCACTTAAAATATAATAAAATGTAGTATGGTCACTTATATATTTTAGTAAGTGCAGGTCAGAACAAGTATGTCGTTTCGTTTTTACATAGCTTTGCCAAACAGGAATAAACTATACATTTTAAAATGTTTTCAAATAGAAAACTTATTATACACAACATTAAAACCACTGACAGATGAAGTGAATAATATTGTAAATTACATGTCAAGTGGTGAAATATATTAGGCAGCAAGTGAATTTTGAATTTCATGTGTTGGAAAAATGATTTTGACATTGGTCAAATATAGTGATGGATAGATGACTGAATCAGAGCATCTCCAAAACAGCAAGTCTTGTGGGGTATTCCTGGTATACAGTGGTTAGTATCTAACAAAAGTGGTGGGGAGTGAGAGGCTGTCTGGTCACACAGAAGAGCTACTATAACTCAAATTGCTGAAAAATGTAATGCTGGCCATGATAGAAAAGTGTCACAATGCATTGCAGTTTTGCTGCATATGGGGCTGCACAGCAGCAGACTGGTCAAAGTCCAAACAATGACTACTGTCTACCACCAAATTCCCCAGATCAAAAGCCGATGGGATATATGGGATGTTGTGGATGGACAAATCCAATATGGAGGCTCCACCTCCCAAATTGCAGGCCTGCTCTGCTGCTACAGGTGTTGACATTTCCCAACAGCACAGCAGTAATGACTTTATGAACTACTTTACTTCCAAGATCGATACTATTAGAGATAAAATTGTAACCATGCAGCCGTCAGCTACAGTATCGCATCAGATAGTGTTCTATAGGAACAATTCCACTCATTTGCACTCATTCTCTACTATAGGAGAGGAAGAACTGTATA